AGAGTGACTGGAGCGCTGGCTGGCACGACGACCGTTGGCAGACGGGAGGCAAGCGTGGTGGAGGCAGGCCCGACGAACGCGGGGAAAAAAGGCAGCGATGGGGCGACTGAGCTCCCCGCCTCCTACCCATCCCGCCACCTAGAGGGACAGGTATATCGACCTTGCCACACACTTCGAGCAGCCTTCAGCTGCCTCCCGTTGCTCTCTCAACCCGTGTGGCAGCCGTGCTGCCCCCCACCCTGGCACACGCACTTCCTGCCCTTGGACCCAAGTGTGTCGACCAGCAATACCATCTGCATCGCAGCGCGGGGGAGTGCAGCGTGCAGACCCTAGTTGGCCCCTGGCCCCGCTGCAGTTGTTCTCACCTTTGGCCCGAGCGGATCCGTGCCCGGCCATGCTGCTCCGTGACCGACGGAGGTGCACTCCCGAGTCGCGCTTATAATCCCTGGGTTTCTCTTGCAAACAGCAGCCTTCAGCTGCTCCTCCGACGACAGACTCGCTTGGCGGCATCCCGCCGCCCCCCCCGGCACGTGCACTTCCTGCCTTTGGACCCAAGTGAGCGTGCCAGTAATACCGTCCGCATTGCAACACCACGTGTTGCGTGTGGTCATAGTGGCCCCTGGCCCCGCTGTAACTGTTTTCACCTTGCCAGGCCCGTCCTGGCCCGCAGCTCTGAGTCCGACGCTTTGGTGGTTTCGCCTCGTCACACTCAGGTCCGCGCTTCTACTCCCTGGGCTTCCCAAAGTTACTTCGGCCTTCAGCCGTGTTTTTTCTACCCTCCCTGGGGGCGACCCTGGGCTTGGACCCGTCGCCCTTGGGTCTCACGTTGTTCAGGCGGTCCTTTGACGCGGGTCGCCCCGCCGCGACGGCGGAATGCCCACCTGGTCCGCTTGAACCGTTCTCTGACTGGGTCGCAGACGCACTCCCCGTACATGACTTCCTCGCAGCGGTTGGCCGCGGTGTGCCACCCAGTGGCTAGTGGTGCACCGCTCGCCGCGTGGGTCGGTGCGTCGCTCCCGCGCTCAACCTGGTTGAGCGACCACTCCCTGGGACTTCGTGACTTTGGATTGCTTGCGCTGCCGTGGGCATGCGGCAGCGTCGCTTTCTCCGAGCGCTCTTCTCTTACTTGCCTTTGCGTGGGTGGAGAGCCGCTGTTTGTCACTTAGTCGATTCCTGGTACACGCCCCGTCACTCTCGATTGACCGTGTGTCTCTCGCCAGGTCGGGCGCAGGCGCACCCCTGCACTGCGGCGCATCATGTCGTTGGTCGCCCGCGTGCAGGCGCATCCCTCCGCAGTTGTTCTGAGGTTGGCCCCGGTTGTCTATGACTTCTGGCGTACCCTGTCAGCCGCCGGATGCGTTTTCTGAAGCTGCGACGGTTCGCTGGCGCTGTCAGAAATTCCCCCCCCTGCTGGACGACGTCAGCTCTACGCCATCGGTCCGCTCATACCCGGCAGACACCCTGGGCTCCCTGACACCTTCGTGCACGGAGACTGATTCCCACCACCATGCGATTGTCGGACCGACCCGATCCATGACTGGGGATGTGCGGCGCGCCATATTGGCCGCGTCCGCCTTGCTTCCTGGGTGGCTGACCCCTCAGACTCCCTGGGTTGCAGCTTGCACCGCCGCCTGGCCCCTCAGACGCCCTGGGTCGCAGCTTGCACCGCCGCCTGATCCGCGGCCCCCACGCGCGCCCGGGTAATTCGTCACGGCCGCAGCCCGACCGTGACCCGCCGCCGCCGGCGCTTCCGCCTGCGGCTGTAAAAAAAAAAAAAAAGCCTTCACCTGGGTCTCCTGGGCATGTTCTCCCATGACGCGGGCCTTCATCTGGGTCTCCTGCCCGCTGGCGTACGTTCACGGACTCGGCGCTCGGGCCTGTCGGGTTCATGGCTTTCGACGTCTGGTGGCTGGCGATGGTCTAGAGTACACGGCCGCCCACTCGCTGCATACGTACCAGGAGAGCTACGTGTCCCTGGCGGTCCCCAGCCCGGTCCTTCGCCTCTGAGCGGCGCCGCGTGTGTTTCTCTTTCTCCCTCATTTCGCCGTCTTTCCGTCTTTTTCGCTTTCTTCGTCGTCTTCGCCCTCTCCCGCTTCGCTCGCGGCGTCGCGTTGCGTCGCCTGCCCGTTTGAGTCACTCTTGCGCTGGCTCGGCGTAGTGGCCTCCTCATTTTCCGCACGACCTTGCGACGCCGCGCGGATGCCCGCTCGCGGTCGCGATCCAAAAAAAGGAACCCCGCCAGCCCATCCAGAAACGATGTCCAGAGGAATTGTCCCGATCAGGGCAGTGGGCAGCACGCAGAGGAAGGGTCCTCCAGCGGAGGCCTCTTGGAGCGTTTCGGGGGCATTTTGGCGGCCCCGGAGGCCTCTTGGAGCGTTTTGGCTGCCGCGGCGAGCTTCTCAGGGCCTCTCGGGGGTCTCTTGGGGGCCTCTTGGAAGCCTCGCGGGCGCCTCTTGGGGCCTCCCTGAAGCTCGCTTGGGGGCCTTGGGGGCGCTCTTCGGGCCATCTTGGAGGACGTCGGTCAAACAAGAAGTGCCCCCCCCAAGAGGCCAAAATGGGGCCCAATCTTTTCCAGCAAACCCAATGATGTGGGTTTCCCCGCCGAGACCGTTTTGGACGCCCTGACACCTCGCGACCGGCCCCGCCCAGGTCCAGCGGAGAGGGGGAAGGGCAAACCCTTCCCCGAAGGGGAAGAGGGGCACATGGAACACAAAACTCCCTAGACCACCTACGCCCTAAAAGGCCGGTGGGATTGCAATGCGCATAGGTTGACCCACGGACAATTCAAAACAGTTCATAACAGACATGCGCACTTTAACCTGCCCATCACCACCCCTCCCCCCTTCATTCCTCCCGTCCCCAATTTTTCCTTCCATGCATAATTTCTTCATGATTTCCGTTATCCATGTAGCCCCCACCCCCGCAATTTAATCGTAGTCTTCCCTCATCATTATTTTTCTCTTGCCTTCCATTTTGCATCCTTCTTTGCGTCCTTTCTCCTCTCATCCTCCGTTTCGTGATGTTGTTTCGTTTCTTTGGTCCCCCGTCCTCCCTCTCTTCTCCCATTTGTCGTGGGGCGGGTGGGGACGAATTGAAATATTTCCTGGAAGCAGAGTGCTCCCTCCCCGCTTCTCAGGGCGAGTTGCTTTCATTTCATGATTTCCCCCGTTGGACATGTTTGGGTACTTTCTCTATCCAGCTCATTGCGTTCCTGTTCATGTTGATGCTGTTGATGTCCCTGCTGCCTGCATGTTTTGTCTGGCGAATTTCACATCGTAGCGGGGCAATGAGTTTCTCAACGCGCATAGGTGAACACCGACCCCGTATACAACTGAAAGCGAACCTTGACGAACAAATGCGTGTGCCATGACAAGCTGCGACAGTTAAAACAGCGTTGCGCGCATCACCACCAAACGGCCCGAGTGCGTGTTTTGATCATACTTGACAAATTTAAAGTATATCGTAGTCGCGTGTCACCGCGATGGCAATGGTGCCCTCATGCAAAATACGAGTCTTACATTTAGCAATGCTCAAGAAATCCGCGTTTGTGTTACCAGCACGGCCGCATTCGACAGGCGCGACTCATCTACCAACATCAAGCCTTACGAGCTACACTGAAGTTAGTGCCCACAATGCGCCAGGATAGCAAACTCTTCAAGCAGCAATTTTGTTCACCTTTCCAAGCAGCGCATAAAGCAACGCTGAAGTAAACATCTGGAGTTGAACATCCAAGTGGGCGTGTCACAGTGGGATGCAACACGTAAGATGTGGATAGCAGCAGCGTGTGTCAGGCGTCGCTTAACTACGGAGGACAGAAGCTAGAGGCGAATCTCCCCCGATGTCAGGGGCAGGTGTCCCAGGTTAGCACCTCCGGTACGTCCAAATAACACCCACAGCCGACGTGGCAACACGTCTAGTGATTGGACATGTTGCATCGCGCGTGCCAGCAAGCATGACGATAAAGATCGATCATATGTTTGGCATCACGAGATATTACACTTTGCGGTTGTAATGGTCGAGCTTCTGTGTTGTACAAGTAATGTCGCTGTTATCACGCGCGCACAAGGCTCGTCAGGTCGCGGCTGGACACAGAAACTATACGCAGTCTGCCTCACGAGGTGGAGGAGGAGGGAGGCGGGAGGAGGCAACAATGTGTGAAGAGGGAGCATGGTGTCGGGGGGAAGAGATGGCAGGGTGCAGGAAGCATGGAGCAGGAAGGGATGAGGGTCGGGTGTAGCGCAAGATGGGACGTATGACGGACGTAGACAAACGAGAAGCAATAGCGAACCGATGACAACGAGGAGGAGGAGAAGGAGGAGGAAGAGAGAGAGGGGGGGGAATAGCAGGAGGAGGTGAATGGGGTAGTACGGGGGAGCTGCAGAAGCAGGCTGAGGATAGATGGAGGAGACGGAGTTGGACGAGAGGGGGCGTAGCAGGAGGAACAGGATGACGCGCGGGCGGTCTCATGGGAGGAGATAGGGAGGAATAGGACGAAAGCAGGATAGAGGAGGAGGAGTTGGAGAAGGAGCCGGAAGAGAGAGAGAGAGAGAGAGGGGGATGGATGAGGAGGAGGAAGAAGAAGAGCGAGCGGGGTGGAGGCACAGAGAGGACGAGAGGCAGAGAATCCGAGGAGGGAGCAGGGATCGGGAGGGGCCGACAGAGGGAACTCTTTTCTCTCGCTTTCTACCTTCTTCGGCTCTCCCCCCGTCCTCCTTTCGGCAGCGAGCGAGGGGGGGAAATGAGAAGGAGAAGGCTTTCTCAGATGGCGGCGGCACTTCTCAGAAAAGTCATCGCGCTTTCTGAGAGAAGTAGTTTGTTTTCTTCGGGGGAGGCTTGGACATCTTCTCAGAAGCCCGGGGGACCTCCGAGCCTCATGAGAAGGCCCGGCTCTTCTCACTTCCCCCCGCTTGCTCGCCGCCGATCCTAGCAGGGGGAGATGGCGGTGCGGGAGGACGAGGGGGGGGGGGGGCGCGAAGTTGCGACGCGGCGCGGGCTGCCAGGCGTCGCCAGAATCAGCCGGGGGCCGCCGCACCAGGCTCCACGGGGCGGAGTTCGCTGCGCTTCCACGCGCGCCTGTCTCGGGCTTGTCCCTGCGGTCGGATTTCGCAGGCGATTTCTCTCCCCCAATCCCCGACTTCCGCCAGAAAAGTTTGGTCGCTCAGAAAAGGGGAGGAATCTTGGGATACATCCCGAGGGGGCTATTCGGACGCACCCCTGTCGAGGATGGACGCCCCCCCCTCGTATATCCCAGGGTTGGGCCCCAAATTGTTGATCCTCTCGAAAACCTCACGGAGCCTGGGATAGGGGTCGACGCATCCCCTGTTAGGATTTGCTCAGTCTACCCTGCAGATTCGAGGGCTGTCCTTGTGTTCTGTCTGTCGCGTCTCATCTCTTCTGGTCTGTTGCACGGGATACCTTCGGGAGAGAGACTTGCGTCCTCTGGAGTGTCTCCCGGGATGCGTCCCGACCGTATCGCTGCGATCGACCAGCCCCAGTCGTTGAAAACCTCAGGGGTGTGCGGACTGCTTCTCAGTGCGAGGGCGCTCGCGGAGCTGGCTCAGAGGGCGCGCCTCGTGGAGGGTTCCCTCTTCCCCCCCTCGCGGGCGGTCGTGCTCTGTCGGAAAATGTTGGGAATTATCGAGGTCAGCGCCGAGCTGGAGTGATGCCAATTCTCGGGATAGGCGCGCGTTGAAAGCTGAGTCCTGGGGGGGGGGGGGGGCGAGAGACGGTGGCCGTTGGAGCAGGCGGCGGCCGACCTCCTGCAAGACATTCTGCCGGCCCCTTCCAGGAGGGCACCCCAAGAGGGCCCCGAGAGGCAAACCTCACTGCGTTCCCCAAGCAAGGCCTTGATTTCTGGCAGATTCGCTGTTCTGTATGAACGGGCCTCCATGGCGGCCGAAGACGGCCCCCGAGACTACCCCAAGACGGTCCAAGAGGCCCCCCAGAAGGCTCCGAGGCGGTGGTCGGGACGGGGGCTGGTAAAAGTCCCATGGGCTCGTTTGGAAGGCCGCACCCCTCGCGCCACACCAAGGCTGGACCCAGTCGGTGTTTTTGCGATTTCGTGGGCCGTTGTCGTTCCGACTTCGTTTTGCGGTAGAAGTGGATCGAAGACACAACGAGGGACAACGAAAACAAAACGAAAACGAACAACACCACACCATTTTGCGCGCCGCCAATCCAGGTCCGCAAGACGTGCGTCCATCCTCCCGATCCGGTCGCCATGACAGTCTCAAGGCCCGAGATCAATTTGTCCGTGGCCATTTGGGCTGAAGCAGTTTTTCGTCCACATCGATCGAGGCCCATCTGCCTCCGCCAGTTTCTTGCCCAGAGAGTTCAGGGCCAACACGCCCGCCTTCGCGCTGCCCATGCCTGGCCTGCGGCCAACGCTCCTGATCCTTGGCTGGGCCCTCGCGTCGTTCGCCGTGAACGTGCCACGGCTGGGAAGCGGCCGCTGCGGCGACGGCAGCGGACGGCAGGGAGGGGCGGTGGCCCCCGACGCCGAGGCATCCTGTCGTGCGGGCGGCCTCTCTCCCGGAGGTGGCGGGGAGGACGGCGCGGCGACGGCGGAGAGGATGGCGGTCTCTGCCCTGCAGAGCTCGCTGGCGGTGCAGCCGCGCGGGGGGCCGGCGGGGGCGCCAGACCAGGGCAGCGCGGCGGAGGGAGGGAGGGCCGGGGGGGGGGGCGGCCGGTCGCAGCCTGCCAGCGGGCCGGCGGCCAGCGACCCCAGCATCCCGGGCGTGATCTTCATGGCGGGGCCCTGGCTCCCAGGCGGCGTGGTGGCAGAGAGCCTGCCGTTTGTGCCCGCGGGCACGGAGGTCCGCTTCTACGGCTACGGCCAGGTCGACAGGTCTGCCGCCAGAATCTCGGCCGAGCTCGAGGCCCTGGGCGTGCCGGGGGTGCACGGGGCGATGCGCCAGCTCCGCCCATGGTCGTTTCGGATGGACCTCTGGCGCTACCTGATCCTGTGGGAGAACGGCGGCTACTACCTGGACGCCAAGATCGTCCTCCGGCAAAACCTGTCCAGTTGGGTTGGCGCGAGCAACGGCGGGAGCTTTGTCGCGTGCAAAGCCAAGTTCAACCAGGTCGACGAGTCGATCGACAGGGTCCGCGAAAACGATGGGTCCATTCAAGCAGGGGCCCCGCCCTCATATCAGTCATGTGCGCTGGCCGCACGGCCCAGAGACCCACTGCTGCTGAACGCGATTCGGAGGATAGTCAGCAACGTGCAGTCTCGGTGGTATGGCCCCCCTCCCTCGTATGGCCCCCCGTGGCTTTTTATCACTGGCCCTGGCCTTCTGGAGTCGGTCATCGAAGAAGGACGTGTGCAGCCTCACGCGCACTGCCAGTTCATAGAAGAGCAGTCGATCGACGGGGGTGAGCCCGTTGATGGAAGGATTATACAAACAGACCAAAACACAACGCTCATGGTTCTGTCGTCCAAAGTGCACGAGGAGATGCGTACCTGTTCTACGTGCAACTCATACGAGGATCTCTACGACATCAGGGCAGTGTATTGCGACGAATATGTGCCGCCAGGTCATGGTGATGATCCATGTGTTGCTGATTACTTCGAGAACATGTCACACGATGAGGAATGGTTGTCCTTTACTAAGTGAGATCGCCAGCCAGATGTTGTTCAAATTCGTTTGGTTTTTTGATGTTGGGGAGCACGGCCGCTTATATTCACGGCACGAATGCCCAGAGTCCGTTTACATACACGGCGCATATTGCCGACATGCATAAGAGTTCTTGTCTATTTGATAAGCAACTCCAGCTCCAAGTTCTGCCTCTCGGGACGGAGACGGATGTGTTTGCCCGCTTCCAACCCTCGAAGATTTATGTTTCTGGGGGAAATCACCGTGGCGACGTACCCAACCCTTGCGCAATGCGGGGCGCAAATACATCAGGATTGCTACAACGGGTGTGATGACGTAACATGGACGCATGTGATCTTGCGGGCAGCAATCGGAAGGCTCGCAGGCCCCCGATCAAGAAATAAGGGCGTCGTGGTGGTTACCAACGCCGACCCCACCCCCATTCAGGGCGAGGTCTCGCTCAGGTCCCCGCGGTGCCTCAGTCCGCAGGGCCCACCAACAGCCCTCGAAAGTGGCGACAGTGTCGCAGATCGCAGCCCCCGCAGGCAGGGCGAGGTCTCGCTCAGGTCCCCGCCGTGCCTCAGTCCGCAGGACCCACCAGCAGTCCTCGAAAGTGGCGACCGTCGCTGATCGCAGCCCCCCAGGGACGGCGAGGTCTCGCTCAGGTCCCCGCGGTGCCTCAGTCCGCAGGACCCACCAGCAGCCATCGAAAGTGGCGAGAATGTCGCAGATCGCAGCCCCCCAGGGACGGCGAGGTCTCGCTCAGGTCCCCGCGGTGCCTCAGTCCGCAGGACACCCCAGCAGCCCTCGAAAGTGGCGACAGTGTCACATATCGCAGCCCCCCCCCAAGGACGGCGAGGTCTCTCTCAGGTCGCCGCGGTGCTTCAGTCCGCAGGACCCACCAGCAGCCCTCGAAAGTGGCGTCCGTGTCGCAGATCGCAGACCCCAGGGACGGCGAAGTCTCGCTCAGGTCCCCGCGGTGCCTCAGTCCGCAGGACCCACCAGCAGCCCTCGAAAGTGGCGACCGCGTCGCAGATCGCAGCCCCCCAGGGACGGCGAGGTCTCGCTCAGGTCCCCGCGGTGCCCCAGTCCGCAGGACCCACCAGCAGCCCTCGAAAGTGGCGACGGTGTCGCAGATCGCAGCGCCCCCAGGCAGGGCGAGGTCTCGCTCAGGCCCCCGCCGTGCCTCAACCCGCAGGATCCACCAGCAGTCTTCGAAAGTGGCGACGGTGTCGCACATCGCAGCCCCCCAGAGACGGCGAGGTCTCGCTCAGGTCCCCGCGGTGCCTCAGCCCGCCGGACCCACCAGCAGCCCTCGAACTTGGCGACCGTTTCGCAGATCGCAGCCCCCCCGGAACAGCGAGGTCTCACTAAGGTCCCCGCGGCGCCTCAGTTCGCAGGACTCACCAGCAGCTCTCGAAATTGGCGACAGTGTCGCAGGTCGCAGCCCCCCAGAGACGGCGAGGTCTCGCTCAGGTCCGCGCGGTGCCTCATTCCGCAGGGCCCCCCCAGCAGCCCTCGAAAGTGGCGACAGTGTCGCAGATCGCAGCCCCCCAGGGACGGCGAGGTCTCGCTCAGGTCCGCGCGGTGTTTCAGTCCGCGGGACCCACCAGCAGCCCTCGAAAGTGGCGACAGTGTCGCAGATCGCAGCACCCCATGCAAGATGCACATAAGAGGTACCGCATGCAAGATGCACACGCACACACACACACACACACACACACACACACACACACACACACACACGCACACGCACACGCACACGCACACGCACACGCACACACACACACACACACACACACCCACACACACACACACACACACACACACACACACACACACGCGCGGCACCCACGAGGCGAGAGGAGACAAGAGGGAGGCGGGAGGCGGGAGAAGGAGGAGGGGGAGGAGGAGGAGGAGGAGGAGGGACGCGACCACAGTGCTCTATTCAAAACGAATACCCAACCGAGGAGGGTTGGGAACTTACCTTGGCGACGTCCCCAACCCAATGCGGGGCATGAGTAGCTTGGGAGACGTTATACGGAGGTGGTGACGTGACATGGGCGCATATACTTCTGCGAGCGGCATTCGTAAGGCTCGGAGCCCCACAAGGATTGCGATGTCTCGCTCAGATCTGCGTGGTGCCTCACCCCGCAGGGCCCACCAGCAGCCCTCGAAAGAGGCGACAGTTTCGCAGATCGCAGCCCCCCCCCAGGGACGGAGAGGTCTCGCTCAGATCTGCGCGGTGCCTCACTCCGCAGGACCCACCAGCAGCCCTCGAAAGTGGCGACAGCTTCGCAGATCGCAGCTCCTCAGGGACGGCGAGGTCTCGCTCAGATCTGCGCGGTGCCTCACTCCGCTGGACCCACCAGCAGCACTCGAAAGTGGCGACAGTTTCGCAGATCGCAGCCCCCCAAGGACGGCGAGTTCCCGCTCAGATCTGCGCAGTGCCTCACTCCGCTGGACCCGCCAGCAGTCTTCGAAAGTGGCGACGGTTCCGCAGATCGCTATGCTGGCCCCCCAAGCACCCCTCGAAAGTTGCCACGGTCTCGCAGATCGCAGCGCCCCAAGGACGGCGAAGTCCCACTCAGATCTGCGCGGTGCCTCACTCCGCTGGACCCGCCAGCAGCCCTCGAAAGCGTCGACAGTTTCGCAGATCGCACCCCCCAGGGACGGCGAGGTCTCGCTCAGATTTGCGCGGTGCCTCACTCCGCAGGACCCACCAGCAGCCCTCAAACGTGGCGACCGTTTCGCAGATCGCAGCCCCCCAGGGACGGAGAGGTCTCGCTCAGATCTGCGCGGTGCTTCACTCCGCAGGACCCACCAGCAGCCTTCGAAAGTGGCGACAGTGTCGCAGATCGCAGCCCCCCAGGGACAGCGGGGTCCCGCTCAGATCTGCACGGTGCCTCACTCCGCAGGACCCACCAGCAGCCCTCGAAAGTGGCGACAGTTTCGCAGATCGCAGCCCTCCAGTGACGGCGAGGTCTCGCTCAGATCTGCGCGGTGCAGTTTCGCAGATCGCAGCCCCCCAAGGACGGCGAGGTCTCGCTCAGATCTGCGCGGTGCCTCACTCCGCAGGACCCACCAGCACCCCTCGAAAGAGGCGACAGTTTCGCAGATCGCAGCCCCCAGGGACGGCGAGGTCTCGCTCAGATCTGCGCGGTGTCTCACTCCGCAGGACCCACAAGCAGCCCTCGAAAGTGGCGACAGCTTCGCAGATCGCATCTCCTCAGGGACGGCGACTTGCTCAGATCTGCGCGGTGCCTCACTCCGCAGGACCCACCAGCAGCCCTCGAAAGAGGCGACAGTTTCGCAGATCGCAGCACCCCAGGGACGGCGAGGTCTCGCTCAGATGTCCGCGGTGCTTCACTCCGCAGGCCCCACCAGCAGCCCTCGAAAGTGGCGACTGTTTCGCAGATCGCAGCCCCCAGGGACGGCGAGGTCTCGCTCGGGTCTGCGCGGTGCCTCACTCCGCAGGACCCACCATCAGCCCTCGAAAGTTGCAACGGTTTCGCAGATCGCAGCCCCCCCCAGGGACGGCGAGGTCTCGCTCAGATCTGCGCGGTGCCTCACTCTGCAGGACCCACCAGCAGCCCTCAAAAGAGGCGACGGTTTCGCAGATCGCAGCCCCCCAGGGACGGCGAGGTCTCGCTCAGATCTGCGCGGTGCTTCACTCCGCAGGACCCACCATCAGCCCTCGAAAGAGGCGACAGTTTCGCAGATCGCAGCCCCCCAGGGACGGCGAGGTCTCGCTCAGATCTGCGCGGTGCCTCACTCCGCAGGACCTACCAGCAGCTTTCGAAAGTGGCGACAGTGTCGCAGATCGCAGCCCCCATCGTCGGCGAAGAGAGGGCAGAAGGAGGAGGGGGGAGGCGGGAGGAGGAGGAGGAGGAGGAGGAGGAGGGACGCGACCACAGTGCTCTATTCAAAACGAATACTCAACCAAGGAGGGTTGGGAAAAAGGAATTCCCAGAATTCCCGTGTTTTTTCAAAGTGGGATTCCGACTCGGAGATCCCCCACATCCCTTGACATCTGGCCGGTACCGCGTCTCCCGGCTTCTGGGGGGGCTCCCAAGACGCCCAAGGACAGCCCAAGACGACCCCAAGGAGCCCCCAGAACGTAAAGAACGGCCCAACACGTTCCCGCGCAGCCCGAGACACGGCTCTCCAAGCCTCCAGGAGGCCTCCAGAGCCCCCAGGGGGTCCGGAAGAACCCACGCCTGAGGAGCCGGGCTAGCAAAACCCGCGAGGTACAAACAAAAAACAGCGCCGAATTCCGCCGAGGAACTGGAAAACATGGAAATCCCACAATTCCTTGTTCTTGTTTTTCAAGTTTGGCCCCCAGTCTACTCTTGCACAACAGACCACAATTCAGACCCCCTCACCTCCCCCCCAAAAAACAGGAAGCATTTGAGGGCCCCAGATCGTTGAATACCTAACGGAAATTAATTAATGATTTCTGCATTTCCGCATTTCCCCTTCTATACGATTCCGAGGCTTGCGCAGGGCCTCCAAGGGAGTTCCTGGACGCAGGAAGCGACCAAAATGATATTACATGAGTTGGCCGATCAAGCCTAGTTAGATCTTGATCGCGCGCGAAGCGCGCGCGCGCGATGGTTCTCTCGCTCTCTCTCTTTTCTCTCTCTTTGTTTTTCTCTCTCTCTCTCTCTCTCTCTCTATCTATATATATATATAATGGATACGGGGGTCCCGGGCACCCCAAAGTGCACTGATCTATCTTCTGGCCGTTTCGGGCCCGGCGGGGGGCGCCAAAAAACGTCAAAGGGGGCAAGAGGGCGCCAAGATGGCCCAAGAACGCTTTAAGAGAGCCCAAGACCGCACAAGAGCGTTTCAGAATTGGTCCAACATGGCTTAAAGACAGCCCGAGAGTGCTTCAAGACGGCCAAGATGCTATCAAAAGGACTCCCACGAGGCACTCAGGAGGCGAACAAAGTGTTATTTCCGATGGTTTTTGAAGGTTTTTCGTGTTCTCGCTGTTTCGTGCTTCCGACTGTCCAAGACAGCCCACGAGGGCCCAGAAATCAGCTCAACGCGGCCCAAGAGGCACCCAAAAAGGGCGCCACGACGGCGCAAGAGAGCCCCAAGACGGCCCAAGCGCGCCCCAAGACGGCCCACGAGGTGCTCAAGATCGCCCAAGAGGGCCCCAAGACGGCCCCAAGAGGGGCTCAAGAGGGGGAACACGAACCGACAATTCGAGCCTTCCGCCCCAAGAGGCCTCCAAGAGGCCCCAAGAGGCCCCCAACAGAGCCCCAGAGGCCCCCCAGAGGCCCCCTAGGTGCCCCACGAGGCCCCAGAGGCCCCAAAGAGGCCCCAAAAGAGGCCCCAAAGAGCACCCCAAACGGCCTCCAAAACATACCGGTGCATAGCAAAGGACCGCCTAGCCTATC